TTCGACGGCGTGCTGATTGCACGTGCTCGTTGCGTGCGGCCGTTCGCTGTGCCGCCGGTGCTCTCGCCGGCCGGGGTGTGTATGACGGGCTGCCGTCTGGCAGGCGCGGGGCGCGTTTGTGTTGTGGCGGTTGCGCCGCCAGGTTCGGTGCGCTTGCAGCCGCCACGGGACCCCCTTCGTTGTATTTAAACTCCCGCCTGGAATCGGACGACTGGTTTTCGAGTTTTGCTATTTCGTGTAATTGCTGTTGGTGTGGGCTCAGTTGCCTGTTTGGTTCTCTGTTCGTTCTCCGTAGCTGAGGGCGTTTCGGTTTCTATGAGAGTGTATGCCGGTTTGAGGCGTTCTACCGAGACGTTCGTAGATTTGCCTCCCGTCTGGATGGTAAAAAATCGCTCTGTCCGCTTGATGACTTCGTATGGTCCATTATAGCGGGGGTGGAGTGCGCCTGTTGGCGCGTCCTGTCTGACGAAAACGTAGGGTGTCTTTTCCAGATCTTGATGTACGAACACGTCTTTCCTGCCATGCCGCTTTAGCTTGGGTGTTAGACGCCCCATGAGGTTGCGTAAACGGCCGATGAAGTCCGTCTCGTTTGTTTCGTTTTTGGTTGTGTCGAAGAATTCTCCAGGTAAGTGGATTGATTCTCCGTACACCATTTCTGCTGGAGTTGCTTTGATGTCTTCCTTAATTGCCGCTCTGATGCCCATGAGTATTATTGGCAAGGCTTCGGTCCATTCATCGGTCTCATGGCATCTGATGGCTGCTTTTAGCTGTCGGTGAAATCTCTCCAGCATCCCGTCGGCTTGTGGGTGATAGGCTGTGGTCCTCCAGTGTTTGGCTCCCGTCAACTTTATTAAACGCCGGAACATGTCTGATTCGAACTGGCGTCCTTGGTGATTCCAGTGGTGATTCTCTCTGGGATCCTGTAGCGGGCCATCCATTGGGTGAAGAGTTGTTTCGCGATGGTCTCTGCTGTGATGTCCTCTACTGGAATTGCCTCGGGCCAGCGTGTAAATCTGTCTATGATTGTTAGACAGTACCTGTAGCCTTTCGACGTTGGTAGTGGCCCTACTAGGTCTAAGTGGATGTGTTGGAATCTCCGAGTCGGTTGGAGGAATGTCCCGATGG